TTGCCATCTTTCTGTGTTTCACTATTCTTCACTTCTTCAAATTCTTTCGATCTATAAAAACAGGAAAGAATTTGGTCCAGAGTCTACCACCACTCCCTACACCTGTTTGTTCTTTTTCAAGCAATAACAATAACTCACAAGAAGTCAAATGCATTGGAAATTATTGGGTGGCAGGCTTTCTCTTCATTCTTTCCTTTGTCTTTTTCGTCATGTGTACTGTCTTCCTTGTTCTTGAGAAGATTCAAGACGACGAATCGGCCACCTCGTCTTCCATTTGATTTTATTTTTCATTTTCAGTTATCGTCTTTTTTTATGTGGAATTTCAAATCTCGTTCTCCAAAACAAATTGGATTGTTGTTCTGAACTATTTTTCCAATACCAAACAGTCCAAATAACACAAACAAGATAAAAATAAAATCACTTCCTACAAAATGCTTTTGAGTTGATTGATCACTTCAGTGTCGTCGTGGATTGTTCTTTTCGCGGCTCCCTCTTCTTTTTTCGGGAATTGGTTAGTCTCGAAAACAAATGCGTTCGTGGACAGTTTCGACTGTTGAGTGATTTGCCCGTCGGAGATGTCGGTGTTCTTTCTTGAGATTCTCAAAGGTTGTCCTTTAGATGGTGGTGGAGCCAAGTGTATAGCTCCTCTAACGCCTGTTGGTCTTTGTTGTTGTTGAGTATTTAAATTTTCTTGAGAGATGAGTCTTTCGATGATTGGGGCGTTACTTCCATTGTCTTGTTTTGGTGTGTTATCTTCCAAGATGTGACCTGTCGTGAATGTACGATAGATTTCCTTTTTCGGGCTATACGTTAGAATTGTAATAATTATTAGATTAGTAATAGTTAAATAACTAGTTAAATTATATATTACAATTAAATAATAAATTAAATAATAGATTAAATAATTAGTTATAATAATAATTATATATTATAATTAAATAATAAATTAATAGTTAAATTAATAGTTAATATACTAAATAAAATAATGGTTAAATTGTTAATAATAATAAATATAAAAATAGAGTGACAAACTTATTAATAATACTTGCGAGTTGTACAATCAAATTAGTAAAGTTTGATTCGATCTCGGAGTACTTTTGGACGTCACTTGACTCTTGAGCTGTGTCGATGAATTTGACAAACAAGACATTGAATCTTGAATTGAGTTCGACTGCTCTTTTATGCATTGATTTTGCTGATTGTTCGTTGACTGTATTTTCCTCTTTCTCAAGGGTGTCTTGGATGAGTTCGGAACATTCTTCTATCTCCGCAACGATGTCATTGATTTGTTGTAAAGTTGATTCCTGTTGTTCCAGGTGAGTATCTTTCCGTACAATCGGTGGAGGAAAGACAATCCCCTTTTCGACATACTTATTGTACATGACTTCGTAGTTAAACAATTCGTTCGTGTAATTATTCCCCCACGACTGAAGGATTTGCAACGATTTCTCCGTCACCATTCCCGGCTTCTTCGATTTCTTTGATTTCTAAAAAATGAGAATTTTCAGTTCAACTGGATTTTTCAGTTCTATGTGATTTTTTAGTTCGACGAGATGAGAGAACAAACGTCAAAGTCTGCGGAACGCTCGAAGAGTGCGATGAAGTCCTCATGAAGAACTTGTTTTCTGAATTCGGGGCAGTTCTCAACTAAATAATCCATTAAACATAAACAATAATACATCTCTTTCTTTGGAAGAAATCCATTACAATAAGCTTTCATTTTACTAATCAGTTGAACGCGAAGTGCTATCTGAGCATTCGGAATGGTCGACGCTATTTTACTGAGCGTTGCAAATGACTTCACACTCGGTTGGGGATGAATCTGATTCGTTGCGTGATCGACAAGTTGCGAAAGGGGAACAGTTTGCTTTGCTTTCGACATCGGTTTATGGGATTTTATAGATGCCGTTCTGTTTCCTTCCATCACTCTCTCATTCTATCAATCTCCCATTTCTTCATGTTTTTGAAATAATTTAGGAGAGTTTACGGAGTTCTGGGAATTGAATCTTATTGCAACCGTTTTTTCTTGTTCAAAATCATTTCACTTGCCACACATCACTACAGTTTTTTCGTTTTTCTTGTATTGTTTACTATATTAATACATTAAATTAACTATAAATATAATTACAATTTAAAAAATGAAAGTTTTGGGAAGTTTACAGAAAAATAAAAAAAAATAGCGAAAAAAAATTAAAATCGAAATAACAAAAAATTAAAATATTTTATTAATATTTTTATAATTTTTTTAATATTTCGTTAATTTTTCTTTTTGATTGTCAATATATAAGAAGTAATATTTCGGGAAATAAACAATTTCAAGTTTATTATTTTTGTTGGACATGTTCACTAATTCGTCAAAAACTTCCAATATAAATAGTTCAATGAGGGATTATTATAGTTTGAAGTAATCATATATTATAATAATTATTCAAATTTCTTTAATTTGACATTAAAAATAAAACAATTAAAAAAAAATTGTCACAAATTGTGTTTTGTTTTTTTAATTTGCCAATCATATCTTAAATAATTTTTTTTATTATAATATCAATATCAATTTCTGTTATTTAAAATATTTTTTTAGTTATATTATTAATATATTGTTAATAAAAATAACTAAATAATAATAACTTAAAACTACAATTGGAAGATGAGTGTTATTTGATATTCTTAAGAATTCACAAAAAAATACATAAATTAACCAAACATTATTGAAAAAATTTACTAATAAAAAACAAACACAATTCATTAAATAAAACACTTTTTTTTGAATTATAATGTTTTGTTGAATAATTATTTTTAAACTATATTTTTAATTAGTTTTATAAATTTATATTTTAGTCAAATATTAGTTTGAATTAAACTATAATAATATATATTATATTATATTATATTTTAATTAATTTCAACAATGCAATTGAAATGCTAATAATTTAATAAATAATTAAACTTTTCTAATTTCTAGTATCCTTCATACAAAACCATTAAGAAACTATATTTACTTCAAAAAATGCAATTATTCCGTCTTCATATCATTAAGACCGAGTTCGTCATCTTGTTCCTTAGTTCTGACGTAAACTGTTTCTACGCAGCAGTCGTCCTTTTCTGGAGCGTTTGGATTTTGTATATAAGAATTACTCATCAAGTCGTCTATAATGAGTGTGAATTGTTCTTTGAATTCTTTAAAGTTCTTAAGTCTTTGCACGATGTTCTTTAATTTGTCTTCTTCTCCCTTTTCCGCTGAGTCTCCATGAACAAATGGCAAGTCGTCCAAATGATTAATAACGTCGTTTAAGAAGCCTTCTATTGTTGTGAATTTACTTCCGAGTGTTCCCGGCTCGAGATCGACTCCAACCTCCACAATCGACACCGCCGCCGTTTCAGACTTCAAGAAACTTCGTGTCAAGTCCTCCGCTGTTTTTGGCGTAAAAACAATCTTTTTCGCCGTTTGCGACACTTCGCCGCCGCACTTAATTTCGTTCGTCTTGAACCCACAGTTGTCGCAGGAGAACGCAAAGATGGTGACTTCCTTGAAGAACGGAATCTTCGTTAACATCATTCGAAGCTTCGACATTTTGTGGCACATCTGACATTCCTCGTCTAATTCGGCAACTTCGGCTGGACAATCAATTGAGCTCTTGTCGTCCATTTTTGGAAGTCCTTTCTCCAATTCGTCAGTGTTTTTGTGCTGAGGAACTAAGTCTTTTGAAGTCTTATTGTCATATCCGGACTCCGTCGGGATTATCTCATTCTGGCCGTCTGCTATAAGACCCACCTCTTTGTTTTGTTCGACGTCTCTGATATACACCGTCGTGTTAATTTGAGGGTCATCCTTTGGAACACACAAATTCTCTAAAAAGGAGTTTCCTGAGGGGTCGTCCAATATCACGGTGAACGGGACTTTCACTTCTAAACACTCTTGAAGGCCAGAGACGACAGTTAAGATCTTTTTATAGTCATCGCCCGTCTCTATGAGGCGACTTAAGACGTATTTGAGTGAGTCTATGGCATTCTGAATAAATCCTTCTAATGTATTTAAAGAACTCGCTTGCGCTGTTGATGGAATTTCAAACCCTAGAGCTGGGAATTTGATGGACGCATGGTCCGATTTCACAATTTGTCGTGAGAGGTCTTTGGGTGTCTTCACTGTTAATGTGTTTGCAATTCCATGGTCTTGGATGGGGATCGTTTGTTGGACTTCAGTGTTCGAGTAGTGGCAATATGGGCAAGAGAAATGCGCCAATAAAATGGTTCTAAAGTATGGAATTTCTGTGAGCATAAGTTTCGTAATACCATTCTTGAAACAATTAATACAAAGACTTTCAACTTCGTTGACAGTGGAGTCCGGGTTGAGTGAAAGTACCTCTTGTTTGTCGGTTGTTTGTTGTTCGTTGGACATTGAATTATGACTCCAGTTTTCAAAAGAAGTATAACAAGAGAATTAGGGTTTACTTTATAAAGAAGTTAATTCAATTAAATGTTTTAGATGAAAAAGAGCGGGAGTATTACTTTGATGAAATATCTATTTATATGCAATACGTGTCTCTTGATGTTTCTTTTGGGCTGTTAAAAAATTTAGTTTAATTATAAATATATTATTATTTTTTATAGTAATACAAATAATAGTAAAAATCCAAAATATTTTTAATTTAAGAATTGTTCTTAATGGTATTAACATATAAAAATGATGTTGTGGGCAGGAAATCGTTTAGAAATGGGTTATTTCTGTTATTTATTTCAGATTCATTTCAAAAGAGTAATTATTAATATTAATATAAATAATATATTAAATTACTATATTTTTTACATTAACATTAAAAACGTTGGTTGTTTGTTTTTAAAAATCTTATGGTGTTGCAAACCAGTAATATTTCAACTTTAAAGTGTGAAAAAAGACACGACCAAGGATATAAATAACATAAACCAGTCGTTGTGACTGGGATTTATCTTTAAAAAACACTTGATATAGATTTTTAACTTTAAGGTTATAATACAACAATATAAAAAATAGAGTCCATTTATAAATAGAATAGATACATATATAATTATAATAGAGTCTGTAAAAGCAAAAAAAATTAACTAAAAAGACAGACATGGAATCAACAAAATATAATAAGCTTGGTGATCGTTCTTTGGGTGCTAAACGTGTTGAAGTCAAAGGCAAAAAGGTAGTCAAAGATCCAACCAAGAAAACCGATCAAGTGAATGACTGGTTGATGAAAAAGGAGTGCGACTGCTATGCCCATCTTGTTAAGATGGATCGCGACTCGAAGAGTAACGCGCCTACACTCATCCATTTATATAAGAAAAACACGGTCTTAGGCAGATCCTCTCAGTGTGATGTGGTTTTTGATTCTTTGATCCACCCGATGAGCATATCCAGAACACACGCTAAGCTTGAAATAACAGAGGAAGGTATAGTAATACGTGACTCTTCCACAAATGGTGTCTTTGTCAACAATGAAAAGGTTAATTTTAGAATACTGAAAGACGGGGACATCATAACTTTAGCTGGTGGAAAGGGGATTCAAAATGGCAAACATTTTGAACAGCCAAATTCTCCATTCAAGTTTCAGTACGTTGTGTTGAAGAAAGGCAAACGACCAAGTGCACTGTTGGAGAATACCAGCGAGTTGTTGACTTCGACTTCTGAGACGTGTTTAGATACCGTGTCTGAAGAGTACTACTCGATGAATTTGAGAGCAGACACCGTCAAAGGGAATTGTACATGTTCGATGTGTAAGAAGCTCTTTGTTGTTCCAATCACATTAAATTGTGGTCACACCTTTTGTTATACTTGCGATTTACAACATGCCATGAGAAATGGAAATAAGTATGAGTGCCCCATTTGCTTTGAACGAGCGAACATAAGATGTAGATCAATAGTCATTGAGTCTGTAGTGCAAAACTTGTTGAAGTCTGAAGGGAAGATGGAAGGCGTGTTGTTTGAAGAGCGTCAGAAGTTTGCAAGAATGTATCTTTTAAACACAGACACCATTTATGGAGACATTTCAGTGAAGAAGTTGCCATATGGAATGAAGAAATGGACTCCAGAACAGACTATAGAAGTGAATAATTTAATGAAGAAAGTAAGTGGAATTGAGAGAGAAAACTGGTTTGTAGCACTTGGGATTACCAAGTATGACTTAATCAGAACAAGTCCAGAAGAAGTGATTACTGTGTTGGACAACTTGAACATCGAGTATTTCGAAGAAGATGATGAAAAAACCAAATTAGCACTAGTATTTGCTTATATTAATAATTGATTCTATTAAACCATTAGTAACTATAATAGTATTAACTTTTAGTAACATTTTTTTAATAATTGTTAATAATATTTTATTATTGTTTTTTTTAAATAATAAAATATTGTTAACTTCTAAAATAAATAAATATTTATTTATTTATTTATGAAATTATTTTTATTAAGTATTAAATAATAAAATGGAACTATTTTTAATAATACAACAATAATACTACCGAATAAACGGGATTATTGGGATCTATTAAAATAAGTATATTTTTTTATAATTTAATTTATAGTAAAATATTAATATCGGGTTTGTCATTTTAAAACCAAATTCACACAAGTAAATACATATAACACTTTTATAATAAATTCTAATATTTTAAGTAAAACTTTTATATTATAGTAAAAAATACCAAAACAATAACTCACTTTGCCTCAAACGAGTTGATGAAATTGATTGCGTTATCAATATCATTCTCTTTAACAGACGCTCTTGCAAAAGTGACACTAAAGTCCAATTGTGCGAACTTGAATTCGTCATCGGGGTCTCCATACATAAACAAGTCGTCGTCTGAAATGACTTCCCCGGGCTTCGCAACACGTTTTCGCAATTTGTTGAGTTCCTTCTCCAAAAGCATTTTAATGACTTCTTCCGACTCGGAGAGGGTTACCTCACTCTTATTACACAAGACCAGAATCGGGACTTTTTGTGTGTTATTTAAAATGATGTCATGAAGATACGCCGCGTCTTCCTTCACACTCTTTTTGACATCGACTGATGACACCAAAAACAATATGCCTTTAGTCTCATTGATGTACTTTTTGAACAAATTGCGGACTTTCCCATACCCCGGAATGTCAACGATGTCAATCAACTTTTCTTTGTTCTCCCCCACCTGTTGTTTGTATACACCAGAATTCTCCACCATTGATGTGCATGTCTCCGTCGTGTGGTCATTTTGGAGCTATTCTTTAATTGCCATTGAATAGTAAATTATAACTTTTTAATAGTATAGTTTAACTAGAAGAGTATGTATATGATAAGAACAAACACATAGGAATAAACTGGTCTTTCCAACTCCCGAGATTCCAGCAATCATCAGCGATGTTCTCTTGGAGGACTTCTTTAACTTCTTTGTGACTTGTTGTCAATACAATTGAGTTACAATATTAAAATTGGTGACGAATTATTTGGAACTATATTTTATAATTCATTTATCATAAAAATATAGTAAAAATTGTGTTAGTAAATGTGACGTATTTTGTTAAATACAAACGGAAATATATAACCGCTGTTACCAAGAGAACAAAGAGAGATGTGATGACCATTGTTATGACACCACTTGATGAGCCAGTTACCTGTTGTCCGCCCTCCATCTTTTTTGTGAATAAAAAGTTCATCTCAAAATTCAGATGCAATTCACACAAATATTTGTTGTCTTCGCAGACTTGATCTTTTTGTTGTTTGTTCCTGTTACTTTACAACACTTTAATAGCGCCACATTTGTCTTTTATTGCTATTCATCTGCGATTTGATTAATACTTTTAACACTTTGTTAAACTATAATTTATAATTTATTTTACTACTGATAGTTTGGAACAGACTGACAGACAGCTTCGCCTCACTCTTTGATTTTTCTGGACAAGTCGAATATCGCCACCCACAAATCGGAAGTGGTGGACAACCACAACAACAGGCCGGAGGACAAAGACTTGGTGGAATGAGACCAACAGGTGGAAGAAACGATTTTATGCCAATTGGGGGGTGTTCTTGTGGACTTTGAGTCTTGTGTCGTTTTAATTTAATTTTTAGTATTACTTCTATACTTGTATAATTAATTTATTATAATAAAATATATAATACATTATAATTAAATAAACTCACACCATTCATACATGTATTAATATATTTATTAATATATTTATTATTATTAAATAGTAATAAATAATACCAATTATAATAGTATTATTTATTATACTAATAATACAAGAATAATAAAAGTTAATTAACTCCCCAGAAAGTATCTTTGTCGATACCTAAAGCGGTATAGAAAGATGAGCCGGGAGTAGTTCTTTCATATCTATCGAGCTTTTTAATTTTTTCCATTTCCTCATCGGACAAAATGAAGTCGAAGATGTTAATATTTTGAATGATTCTTTCAGCATGAACTGATTTGGGGAGAGCGGAATGTCCGCATTGCACGATGAATCTTAAAACGACTTGTGCGACTGTTTTCTTATGTTTCTGAGCGATTTCTTTTAACACGGAATTATCAAAAATGTTTTCGACTTGATTTCTGTCAGCATTTCCATTATTTCCAAGTGGAGAATAAGAAGTGACATGAATGTTATGTTCTTTGCAGTATTCCATTAGCTTTGGTTGTTGTAAGAAGACTCCAAATTCGACTTGATTGACGGCCGGCTTAATCTTAGCGATACTCAGTAATTTCTCTAATTGTGGGATAGTGAAGTTCGACACCCCAATTGTCTTAACTAATCCCATCTCAACGAGTTTCTCCATTTCTCCCCAAGTCTCTTCTATTGGAACTTCAATAATATCTTCTCTCTTTAATGGCCATGTTGCTCCCACTCTTAATGAGACAGGCCAATGAATGAGGTACAAGTCTAAATAGTCCAAACGAAGTTTTCTAAGTGATTCTTTGCAAGCGGGAATCACTTGTTCCTTTCTCTTCTCTTCAATCCAGAGCTTTGATGTTACAAAGACCTCACTTCTTTTAACTTTGCCTTCTTTAAAGAATGGGTCAAAAGCGATGGTCCCGATTTCTTCCTCATTCTCATAACATTTAGCACAGTCGATGTGGCGATAGCCGTGGTTCAATGCGGTCAAAACAGCATTCCCAACAAGGTCTTTCTCTGCGAGCCAAGTCCCTAATGCAATCGCTGGAATTTTTGTTCCATTGTTAAGTTCAAATTCAATTGTTTTGTGGTCGCTCATCTGTGTTTTTTTAATTCTTTTTGAGGTTTTTATTCGCCTTCTTCTCTATCAAACAAGTCCATCCAAACTATACAAGTTGTGTACTTCTTGTTTTTCTATAACTTTATTATAGTTGATCATAGTTTGTTTACTAGTTTCATGAACCCTATAATTAAGTTATTCCCAGAAGATTTAAAATGCAGAAGTGTTTTTATTTCATAAAGAAAAACACTCACCATTGTCGATTCTTTTGGATAGTTTATATATAATTAATAATATATTAAAAAAAACTAATAACAAAATAGTTCTGAAAATGTCGACGTGGTCGATAATAATAATAATAATAATAGTACTAGTTTAATAAACCATATAAAGAACCATTGATAATCCAAATGCTATTAGTGTTGTAAATTAATTAAAGTTCCTCTTCTCTTACTGGTAAATAGAGGTTTCTAAGTTCAGCGATTCTTGAGTCGAGTCTCATTGCCTTAGAAGTTCTGAAGTACTTGTTGACGTGTGGGACAAGAACGACTTTCTCCTTCAACAAGAAAAACTCCTGGAACTCATTGAGTAAGGTGTCACAGATTCCTATTGGTGTTTTTGATCTTCTGATGAGTTCTTGGACTTGTTCTGCGTGTGCGTCGTCGAATATAGTGATAATGAATGTGAATTTAATTCGTTCTTGGTGACTGACGCACTTGTCGATGATTTCTTGGATCATCGTCGAAGGAAATTTGATGACGCATTTCCTCAGTGAGACGTTCGTTTGTATCGCATCAAATGCGTCTTTCAATACCACTTGATTTGGGTTGTCTCCAATTCGTAATGTCAACTCTCTCAGCATCGGCATCTTGACAAGTTCAAAATTGATTGCATAAGTCGTGTCTATCCCAATCACTGAAATTTTGTCTTTGATTTCAAAAGCAACTTTACAGTCTTCTTGTCTGTCACGCATTATGTATTTGTATATTTCAATCATTGGGTACTTTTCCACTTGTTGTTAGTACATGTACTATATATTATAATATATTATAATTTACTTTAAATATACTATTAATATCTATTAATAACAAACACTGCGCTTTATCCATATGCTCGAGTTCTCTAAAATGTACTTTAAATGTGTCGAGATGTTTAAAAACTTTCATTTCGACCCGTTGCATTCGAGTGGTACCGAGGGTGATCGCAAGTTCGATTGACGCGATTCCACAACAGGGATTCACCTTTGTTGCATCAATAGCCGTTTGAGCATTTCTAGAGACAAAATTGAACCGTCTCAATACATCTACTGTGCTAAAGTATTTTAAAACAATCATGAGATAACATGGCTCCAATTTTTTCTTCCAGTCAGTTCAGTTTTAAAATCAAGTGTTCGGATAAACAAACAGTCATTTCTCTATTAAATAGTTCAATTATTCTTCTTTGATTATTTTTGTTATTTTTATTGAGTTTATACCATCACTGTATTATATTGGTATTATAAATATCATTCACTTTTTTTTTTTTTATTTTATATCTTAGGTAATAAATGCTGGTTTATAATGTATTTGAATTATTTTTGCCTAAGATTTTTAATTCTTTGATTATTTTATAAAAGAATAACACAATTATTGATTTAATTTGTTGTTATAATAAATTATTAGATTTAAGTAATATCATTAAAATACTATTAACATTATATATTTTACTATTAAATAATATTACATTTATAGTAATTTTATTAATAAAATATAGTAGAACCAATTGTTTAAATTATAACAAAAAAAACTATAAACAATTAGAATTAGAATTATAATAAATATATAGTAAATTATTACTAACAGAATGAGTTTAAAAAAGTGAATAACATATTACATTACAAATTGCAAGCGAACTCGATGAACTTTTGTGTTTTGAATATCGAAGACATCAAGCTGTTGATGTGATAGTTCACATCGACTCTTTGACAAACAAAGAAGTTCATCTGAGCATTAGACAAGACTCTAACGTTTTCTTCAAGACTTTTTTGAAGTATAATAGCCGAGCTAATGAGTTCGTTTTTGTACTGAGGTGCTTCGACGGAACTTTCCTTTGAGTTTTCACTGCTTTTGAGTTTATAGAATCCTCTGCTCTTACAGATTCCCTTTCCCGATTGAATTGAAGTGCAGTGGTTGAACGCGTCCAAAATAGCTTTTCTCCACTTTTGTGAAGTGAATGGCTTAATGAAAGACAAGATGTGCCAGTGTGCTTTAATGAACTTGAAGATGTCTTCCTTCAATGAGAAATATTCTTGTGTTGGGTTCAGTTCTTGAAGAGCTTTTAAGACCATCACACAGATCTTTGTAGTCTTCATTTTGTCGTCTTGTCGAATTAGCGCGTCGGAGCGTTGGCAGATGATGCACTGGCATTTTTGCTTAGTGAGCGTTTGCATTGAGAGATCATTCATTCTCTTCCTTTATATACTCTAGAACTTTTTCTTCGGTCTTTAATTCTTTTGAATGCCAATTTTTATTTCAAAACATTAAAACGTTTCGTTATTAAATTTCGCCTTTTTGTTTTGGAAAAACACACTCATTGCCCATTTTCATAGGTAAATATCAACGTATTTTTTCGGGAAATAGTCCAAATAATCATGATAAATCAAAAGTCGAACTCTGTACTATTAAATATAATATCATGTACTATACAATCCCATTTTTGCATCACAAAACCTGGAATATATTTAATGTGCTATTGATTAACATGTGGAAAACCACACTTCTATTCTTTTCGTTGTCCTGAGTCTTTGAGTATTTTTGTTCGCCCTTTTCTGATTTTTCAAAAAATCGTAACAAATGGTCAAGTCTTGATTGATTTGCCGATACCATATTGTATAATATATTTTATTATATTTTATTAGTAAATTATGACATTTTTTTTCAAAAAAAAAGATTTGAAAGATGAAAAAAATCGGAAATTCCTTGTGCCGTATTTTTAGCCCTCTCAACTTTATTTTGGGGTTTTGCGATTTACTTAACAGAGAAAACGAAAGTTCCAGAACAATTTTTCATTTAAAAAAT